AATCAATAACTTAAAATCAATTCTAAAATGGACTGGAAGCCAGTGGAGAGAAGCCAGTACCAGGGTTATATGCTCAAATTTCCTAGTACTTGTCAAAAGAAGAGCAGCAGCATTTTGCACCATTTGGAGACGAGTGAGAGAAGACTGGTTAACACCATAGTATAGAGCACTGCAGTAATCAAGAAGTGATAAAATCATGGATTGCAATCTCAAAATCATTAAAAGAAAGGAATGGCTTGACTTTACTTAACAGCCTCAGGTGGAAGAAGCTAGATTTCACAACTGAGTTGATTTGCGTGTTATACCATAAGTCGCCATCAAACATCACCCCTAGATTTTTTACAGTCGACTTCAGATGTCAAGCTAGGGGGCCCAGGCCCTGGTTAAAAGCAGTTAAGTTCGCCAGGTCACCAAATAGCACACACTCGGTCTTATTTTCATTGAGGTTTAAAAAAATTAAGTGCCAACCACGATTTCAAGTCTGTCAGACAGTCAAACAGCGGCTGTAATGACATCCCATGGCAAGTAAATCTGAATGTCATCAGCTTAACAATGAAAAGAAAGACCATATTTAAATAGATCCCAGTGGGAGCATGTACAAAGAGAACAAAATGGGATCAAGCACAGATCCTTGGGGGACACTACAGGAAAGGATAGTTGAGGAGGACAAACAGGTACCAATATTAACAGTAAAACTTCTATGTCAAAATTTTACAGTCGTTATTGTGACACTACTATGTTTCAAGCTTTGGACCAACATAGCAATTGTGCATGTTCATGTGAGACCGGGCTGATATTTACAGTTCAATATGACAAAAAGTTAATAATCTTGGATGTTGTCACTCCCATTATTAACCTTTGTCTTATTTCTGTTTGAGGGATAGTGACGTTTTAGGTTTTAGAACCTCTGCTGCTTGGGGGAGTCAAAAGAAAGTATAAGTTTCCAGTGTATTCACTGAGCTATATGGTGAGGTACAACCTGAGCCATGATTTTTAATCTATATTTGTTTGCATTTTAGCAACTAGGTACCATTAAAAGCATGTTGAATTAGCTATTAGCTGTTGGGGTGTAAAGAAAATCATGAATGATTATAAGGAGCTCCTTTTTTTTTGTTATTTCCAAGCATATTTATGGATGTTTATTCATGAACACTGGAGAGTTCTAAGAAAATCAACAGAAAGTGGACTCGGGGAAGGAGTGCAAGTTTGATGTAAATTCTTGCAGTAGCAGCTCCAATTGCTGACTGTGCTGATAAGCGAGCCAAATCACTGGGCCAAAGTACAATAACTACCTTCCTAATGTTTTCAGAATACTGGCGTGCACCCATCCCTTTCACCCACGCAGTAGCCCTTTCTTACCCATGCAACTCTTCTGCATTCCCCCTGAGAATGGCTGCCTCACAGTTTGAAACCCCTGGTATAATGGCACATATAGTCTCCATAACACACACACAGACGTGCAAGACAATTCTTTTAATTAAAGTCGGGTTTTAGGCATGATGGTGTCTCTCACTATCCAGTGCTTGCAAAACTGATTATGCCGGGAGCATTTTGAGCAGTGCAAAAGATCAGGGGCTAAATAAAGGTTACCTGGGCCTGGTCATTTTATGGAGAGAGGTAGACACGGGTTGGTTGGGAAGCTATTATGGCATGGTGCAAAAGTTTGGGCACCCTACACAATCAGTACTTAGTAACACCTCCTCTGGCAGATATCACAGCTTGCAAACGCTTTTCATAGCCAGCTAAAAGTCTTTCAATTCTTGTACTTGGGATCTTCTCCCATTCTTCCTTGCAAAAGGCTTCTAGTTCTGTAATATTCTTTGGTCGTCTTGCATGCACAGCTCTTTTAAGATCTACCCACAAATTTTCAATGATGTTTAAATCAGGGGACTGTGATGGCCATTCCAAAACCTTCAGCCTGCGTCTCTTGAGGTATTCCATAGTGGATTTCGAGGTATGTTTAGGATCATTGTCCTGTTGTAGAAGCCATCCTCTTTTCAGCTTCAGCTTTTTTACAGATGGTGTGATGTTTGCTTCCAGAATTTGCTGGTATTTAGTGGAATCCATTCTTCCCTCCACCCGTGCAATGTTTCCTGTGCCACTGGCTGCAACACAACCCCAGAGCATGATAGATCCACCCCCATGCTTAATAGTTGGCAAGGTGTTCTTTTCATGAAATGCTGCTCCTTTTTTTCTCCAAACATGCCTTTGCTGATTGTGTCCAAAGAGTTCTATTTTAACTTCATCAGTCCACAGCACTTGTTTCCAAAACGCATCGGGCTTCTGTAGATGTCCTGTTGCATACTTCAGACGTTGGATTTTATGATGGGGACGCAGATAAGGTTTTCTTCTGCTGACTCTTCCATGAAGGCCTTGTCTGTGCAAGCATCGCTGCACAGTGGAACGGTGCACCACCACTCCTGAGTCTGCTAAATCTTCCTGCAGGTTTTTTGCAGTCAAATGGGGGTTTTGATTTGTCTTTCTGACCAGCATACGAGCAGTTCTGTCCGAGAGTTTTCTTGGTCTTCCAGATCTCATCTTGACCTCCACAGTTCCCCTGATCTGCCATCTCTTAATTACATTTC